ATGAAAAATGAAATTCAGGCGTAATAAAAATCCTCCTCACAGCTGCATCCCTCTGTTTTCCCATAATGGTATGATCCTGCATTATTGTTGCAATTTAAAAAAAAAAAAGTTGAAGAAACTTTCTCATCAAAAATGGATTGGAGAGTAACTTTGCTGTTTTCTCAGAATTTGTTTATATTTTTCAGTTTTTTTTTTTAAATAAAATAAATCAACACCTTTGTTTATAGATGTTGGAGTCGGCCTATTTTTCAGTGTAGTCCTGTTTCTCTGACTGTGACTAACTGGATGCTGTTTAGACTATCTCTGTCTGAAGTTAAGTTATTTTCTCTGTGATATCTCTGTATCTAAGTAACTCTAATTNTTTTTTTTAACTTAAATGAGCAGAAAACCTTCAGCTTCACATGAAGAGGGAGGCAGACTAGAGATGTCATCAACATCAAGCGGAGCTTTTATAAAGTAGAGTTAAAAAGTCAAAGAAAGCTGTAATTAATTTCAAAAGGTTTTTTTTTATGCACATTTCTGTTTTGATCATTCAGCTGTTTTTTCAGTTGAAGAAAAAACGTTATTAAGGTTTTAAATGATAAATCGAGATTTTTTTTTCCCCTTTTTTTTTACAGGGCTGTGTAGATGTGTATATTCTGAAAAGTCTGAGACATGAGAGCAAATAGAAAACCTGAGAGCAGAGAGTCTGAGTGAAACATGTAGAGACGGCAGAGAGAGGCCAAGCCTGCAGAACACGTCACACTTACATTAGTGGTGAGCGCCAGCTTCTCTGTTAGGTGCTGTTAAGGTTAAAGCAGCAGACAGAAACTTAGAGAACAGCTTAAATAAATAGAACAGTTTTATACATTCAGTGCACATAATATCACAAAACAAATCCATGCAAAGAAGTGCTTCAAATCAGAGCTCAGAAATCAGAGTTTTAGTCTTTTTAGATCTGCAGCCATGAAGCAGAAGCAGAACATTTTACTTAACATCATAAATCCAGTTAACCTGATGAGGGTTTGCTGCAGCAGAACATTATTCTAGAGATTATTCTTAGAATGAATCGAGTGAGCAGATAAGAAAAAAAGTCACATTCTGCAAACAGGAATCATTCAGTTTCCTTTTAATGAATAAGAAAAATAAAAATCCAAGATCAATATATTCAAAGTTTGCTCCTTTCTGGTTGATTTGACATTAAAAATATCTCTGAAGTGAACAGGGTCAAACAAAAAGGCATAAAGCATGTGGTATTCTTGACTGTTTTTAAATCAAAGCATACGGTAATTCTATTTAAGTGAAACAGAACTGTTAAAGGTTTCTAAAGGGTCAAGTTGGACTAAAATTGTTTTTGGTGCAAAAACAGACTTAATGAAATGAAATGAAAAATGAAATTCAGGCGTAATAAAAATCCTCCTCACAGCTGCATCCCTCTGTTTTCCCATAATGGTTTGATCCTGCATTTTTTTTTCAATTAAAAAAAAAAAAAAA